GAGAGAGGGAAGTCTGGGCATCTTTGCTTAGACTGCTGCCCCCGTGACCCGGTTCCGGATAAGCGGAGGAAAATGGATGGATGGATGGATGGATGGAAGACAAGAAAAAGGGCCATCGTTGCCTGAATAAGCAAAGTAGCCCTGAGAAGTCACACAACACGATTGATAAATATATAATCTAGGCACACATGTGTGAGGGTGTTTTTATAAATTATGGCCGTGGGCTGCTTTCGTTTTGTTTGTGGACTTAGGCGCCTATTATACTGCATGTGTATTTGGTATCAGTAATTGTCAACAACTGAGCTATGACTCCGTACTAGCCAGTGTTCTCGGTACGGTGATGTAGGGTAGCAGTTAAACCAATGCGAATTGTGGATGTGCACCACTGAACCATCAATGACAGGAAATGGATGCGATAACATTTCTCTCTATTCTGCAACGTGACTGAAGCTGAAAGAATTGTTCCATTGGCAACTAAATAAATCAAGGCCTCTTGTTTGGATTTTCTATGACTGACCCAATAACAATGTCAGTGAGGACTCATGAGACCCAAAACCTGCTCCACATATAGTAATTTTCTCAACAAAATTATAAAGAGTAGTTTGTGGGTAAAGAATATAGCACCTGCAAGTGCAGACAGGGAAGGGAAGTCGTAGTATGAGGTTTCATCCAGCTGGAACAGTGGAGTGCCCATAGCCTGACACAGTCTCTCCACCATGCCCTGGATACGGGTTATGTTGTTGTTGGAGGTGCAAATCAAGGAGAACAGGCATTCAGTGGGATCCTGGCGCAACATTCGCACACCTGGGGAAAGACCAAACCATATGTTTAAAGACACATCTCATAAAACAAATACTGACTCAGTCATTACTTACGATGTAATGATACATGATATCATACATGCACTGACCTGTGAATATGTCTGCAATGGACTTGAAGTGGGGGTCTGCTGCTCCCCAGGCCATATACAGATCCACCAGCTTCACATTCAGCTGGAAGTAATCTCTCAGCATCTTGTCTTCCTCCTCAGTGTCCAGCACTGATGTCACGGCTACTGGCTCCTCATCTTCCTTCTTCAGAGGCCCTTCAAATTTCTTCTCTGACTCGTTTTCCTCTTGAAGAGAGATACCAGCTTTCCTCTTCTCGTCTCTTCCCTCCTTCCGCATGTCTTGCTTTTTATAAACGTAATACCACAGGGTGTCATCTGTCTGGGTCAGAGTCCACACTCGCCCTCCAATCACTCCAGTCCAGTGGCCTTCTGCAGTTTCTCTCCAGCTGTGGGATGAGATATGTAACGTTAACGTTAATGCAAAATGCACGAAATGATCGAACCTAAACTGTGCCCAGTTGTTGAATATATTGTTGAAAGGCTATATGCGAGTGTAAATAACCTACCGGAAAGATTGTCCACAGGCAAGAGTGAGATCTAGACGTAGCTCTGAGTTTGCACAGGCCAGAGATCTCCACAGTTTTGCACCCGATGAAAGCACCGCATGTTTGGCCATAACTATTTGGATGCTAATAATTTAACGTTTAGGGGTTAAAACAAGCTTATCCTGAGCTGCCGCGGTGTTCCTGTATTATAAAACTCACAGTAGAGAGATATGTGGTATAAAACAAACCCTACACATTCGTGTAAAGTGGCTTTACGGGGAGCTACAACTCATTGTACAGGTCCGCTGATACAGGTTTGCAGAAACTAGTGCAGGTAGCTATCGCTGAGTTACTTCAGCTAGTTTCGATGATGGACAACAAAGACCTCACACTGTTTCAAATCTCCGCATATTTCAGAAGAAATATTTGTAAAACTGTTATATTTCTGTAGTTGTAATTGAATATGCTATGATATAAGTAACAAATAATTATGGTCCCATTTTATGTTAGTAAGTATATATCCCAAATTACTGACATATCAATCTGATGCAACATTACCCAGATTCCGGTAGCCCCTCCGTCACTGATGTCAACACAGCCGCTGATTGGTTCCCTTGCTCGTAGTGGGCGGTAACTTTAAACAAGCTTATTCACGATCGGTCAATACCGTCCTGCCCATCATGTCCTATTGGTTGATATTTTTGCACATCATTTCTTTGACGCGTAGAGGAAGTTGCCCTTCTTTCTCATCCGCTTCGAGAAAATAGTAGTGTGAGGTGACGGCGTGCGCCTCCTATCTAGTCGGTGAATACGGTGAAAAATGGCGGATACGTTGACACTCTTTACTACCATTGGACTCAGTGAGCTGAAAGCGAAAGAAACGCTGAAAAATGAAGCGCTGAGTTCTGCACTGAAGGACGCAATTACACAGGTATTAAACAGCGTGTGTGGGGAAGCTCAACTGTAAATGTCCGTGAACTGCAAAGGCAGCTGTGAAATATTACTGACAGTAACTCATGTAGCTCGCAAGTTGTATCTACCTCGCGTTTCTCTCAGAGTGATATCATCTACATCTGAGTAGCTCACTGTCTTTGAACATTTTTCATAACTTTGAGCAGTTGTTCCTTTGAGCAGGGGTGGATTACAAACCAACTGCCCAGGGGCCCCAGACCCTCAGGGTCCCTGAGAGCCCCAAGGTCACGACATATTTTTTGGTACTTCATATTTGATTAATCAGTTTAATAAGTTTGTTAGAAATTTGTACCACCCAACATACAATATCAGTTGTCTTAAGATGAAGTAAAATAGCATAGGAGGACAGGTTTAGTAAAAGTGTGTGATACATGCAGCAGGCTTGAAGCCTCTTTCCTGGTGTTAGTATGAGCAAGCTAACATGAGAGCATAGTAGAGGTTTGACTGGTTTGTTGGAAATAATACTAATGGTGTTGCTTATTGTGGTGCTCTGAAGATTTATGACAGCATGGCCTGACACCCCCTTCTTTGGGGCTGAATAATGAGTAAACACCATTTAACTTGTATACTGAGCTTCCATATGAGTGCTCTCCCATTGTTTGGCACATTTAATTGTGTATTATTAACAGTTCATTAGCTCCTGATGCACACACATTTTGAAGGAGAAAACAATTGATTCTTGTCTTTTCTCATTGGTTTTAATAGGTCCAGCGTGTTCATGGGGTATCAGGAGTGGACAAAGGCATGGGTACACTGCTGTATAGTATGGTATCTCGCCTTAAAGACACCAAACGCCTGGCTTTCCTTTCAGACAGTATAGCTCAGCACAAAATCTGCACAGAGCTCCAACTGACAGGTAATTTTCTGACCTGACCCGATGTGGCAACCTGACTAATGATAGCAATGGTCGGTGGTGGAACGTAACTAAGTATATTTACTCAGGTGCTGTACTTGAGCACAAGTTTGAGGTACTTGTTTTACAGACTGATCCCTAAAACAAGAAGGCAATTTTTACATTGCATTCACACACCCACCACTACTCTCACACAAAATATGGCACCTTCCATATCCAAATTTACCCAGGACTGGGGTTTAAATGAATTATTTGAACATATCAATTTGAATTTGGTGTTGAGAATTCTCATGTGATGATCTGAAACAAATCTTTACATAAATTGCCATAAAACTAACAAATGCCCTGACAGCACACCTAATGCAATTTCTGAAGGAGGCTGAGGGAAATGCATGGTGTTGACATTTAGAAGCAGTGAGAGCACTCAATAAAGCACAATGAGTATGTGCCAACCTGTTTAGATGAATGAGATAGTTTGCGGATAAGAATGACCTGAATTTTGGCTTTATTTTTTTTCCTTTGCAGCTGCTTTGGACTTTGTGAAGAGTCATCCTCAGGATCCCATCAACCAGAATGAGTTTGAAGAAGCATGTGGAGTGGGCATAGTCATAACACCGGAGCAGATTGAAGATGCAGTAAGTGAATGAGCCGAAAAAAGAAGTATTTCCTTTTATAAGCTGTACTGGCCATGGTGTGTTCTGTGACAGTGGGTTGTTATGCAGGTGGAGTTGGTGATCAAGAAGCACAAGGAGCAGCTGTTAAAGGAAAGATACCGCTTCAACATGGGGCTGCTAATGGGTATAATCTCACACCTAATTAGTAAAATATTTTTGAAACGATTACAACCTAGTAGACAGACAGAAGGTCTCACTGAGCTCTCGTGGCTGTTGCAGGAGAAGCACGCTCTGCCCTAAAATGGGCTGATGGCAAGGTCATCAAAAATGAAGTGGACATGCAGGTGTGTTGGAAAAAGAGAATGTGTTTGTCATTGTGACTGAATATTTGGAATTTGTTGTCTGGTTGTTCCCACTGTATACTCTTAACTCTGGCTTTCGTCTTAAAGGTCCTACACCTCTTAGGACCAAAGACCGAGGCTGACCTGGAGAAGAAACCTAAGGTAATGCATCTCAGATTATTTAAAGGAATAGTTTGAAATGTTGGGAAATTAGCTGTTTTTCGGCACACTATTAAGAAATAGTCTGGAATGTAACTCCCTGTAAAAGCTCAACTTGTGGTTTTTAACACTTCAGTTGTGGATTAAACAAACAATGCATAGCATGTTAATAAGTGAACTTTACAGGTGCTGGTAGATGGATTTTGGTACGGCTGTTAGCCGTAGTTTCATATTTACTGGACGACATACATGAGAGTGGTATCAATCTTCTCATCTAAATCTCGATTAAGCATGTTCCCCAAAATGTCACATTATTCCTGTAATCATTACACTCTGAATGTCTATAATCTTATCACCTTGCAGCCCCAGAAAGCTAAAGTTGCAGAGAATGAGGTGAAGAAAGAGGATGTGGCTGTGAATGGTAAGCAGGCAAAGGGGACAGCAGATGAACGAGTTGAACTGTTTGTGTCAGGTGTTATGTTTGTTTTTAAGTGTATGCGTGTGTTGGTTGTTTAGGAGAGCTGATGTCCGGGGAGGGAAAATCGCTAATAGAACAGCTCAGAGGAGAGGCACTGAAGTTTCACAAACCAGGTCAGAAAGAACCACCTAAACAGTGACCTCTTTGCTTGTTACTCTTTCTCCATGCTCACCCAGTTTAAAGGGGTTACTTATTGAGTGTGTTTGGCTTTTGTCCTTGTTTCCCATAATACAGGAGAGAATTATAATACTGAGGGTTACGTGGTCACACCAAACACAATGTCCTTGCTTAAAAAGCACCTGGAGACCACTGGTGGACAGGTACACACTTTTTTCTGTGACTAGAGCTAAACTGGTTAGTTGATTAATTGAATGGTCAATCAATAATTCATCAACTGTACTGCTAATAGGGATGGCATTTCAAGCTAAAATGCTATCTGATATTCGCTGGGCAGTATTTGACAATTATTTGAGTATCACTGCCACCACACCTCTAGCCATATTGCTGAGAGTCCCGCTCTGTGTTGGCTAGCTCCATATTTTTACTATTTTCTGACATTTTACTCACCAAACAATCGTTTCATCTTGAAATAAACTGATAGTGAAAAGTTATAGTTGCAGCCCCGTCATGCTTTTTGGGGAAGAAATGTGTTAACTTGAAAATGATTATTTTTACTGATTCTTCTTCTTCTCCCCATTTATGAACTCCTTTAGATACGCACTCGTTTTCCTCCCGAGCCCAACGGTATCCTTCACATCGGCCATGCCAAAGCTATTAACTTCAATTTTGGTTATGCAAAGGTATGAGTCCTTTTCTCGTCTTTTACCATGACATAAGCTGTTTTTCTCCTCTTTAGTGCAGGTGTTTTTGTTAAAATTTCTCTTCCTGTAGGCAAACAATGGAATTTGCTTCTTGAGGTATGATGACACAAACCCTGAGAAAGAGGAGGAAAAATATTTCACTGCCATCAAGGATATGGTGGAGTGGCTTGGTAAGTTTTATTTACACTTTAGTGATCTGATGACAGATATGTCAGATACATTCTACATTCCTAAAGATAGTTTCTTATCAGCGTTACTGTAATACACAGGCTACAAACCCTATGCTGTCACACACGCATCAGACAACTTTCAGAAACTCTATGAACTTGCAGTGGATCTTATTCGCAGGTGAGTCGAGGAGCCACGTGTACGTGTTGGTAAGTGTGCACAAGCCGTTAAATAATATGTATTTTTTTTTTTCTTTGACTTTCTTCAGGGGCCATGCGTACGTGTGCCACCAGAAGGGGGAGGAACTGAAGGGCCATAACGCCCCTCCATCACCGTGGAGAGACCGACCTATCGAAGAGTCCTTAGTGTTGTTTGAGAGGATGAAGAAGGGCCTGTTTGCTGAGGGAGAGGCTACACTCAGGATGAAGATGGTCATGGAGGATGGGAAGATGGACCCTGTGGCGTACCGAATCAAATACACGCCGCATCACCGAACAGGAGATGAATGGTATGAAACCCTGAACCACTGTTCTTTATTCACCCACATAATTTAATTTAAACGCGTCTTTCTCACAACAAGCTGTGCTTCAGCCATACTTGTCTTTTATTTTTCTCTGCAGGTGCATCTATCCCACTTATGACTACACCCACTGTCTGTGTGACTCTATTGAAAACATCACACACTCACTGTGTACCAAAGAGTTTCAGTCCAGGTATACCTGACGTGTTTCATCTGTATTAGCTCAGTAGCATTTCACCTTCGTTTGAGGCCTACAGTATGATAGCATTGTTAGTGATAACTTTGTTGTTTGCTTCTTTTTACTTGTAATGTTCCCTCAGGCGTTCATCTTATTACTGGCTGTGTAACGCTCTGGATGTGTACTGCCCTGTCCAGTGGGAATATGGACGCTTAAACCTCACCTATACTGTTGTGTCGAAGAGGAAAATCATCAAACTGGTAGAGACCGGCACTGTCAGGTACAGTAGCTTTTTTTTTTTTTTATAATAGTCTTCAGTCTGTTATTTAATTTTAATTCTTATTACATTACAAAACACTTGTCTTGTAATGAAATAACTTGCCCCCTGAGACAAACAAAGTATTTTGAATTTAATTTAAATTATACTGGAGTGTAAAGCTACTGAATGGATGAAAAGCATTTGTTTAGCACCTCAAAAAAAATTGGGGATATCCATTTAATGCATTAAAGATGAGCATTTGTGCTTCTTCTGTCTGTATCAGTACTGGCACTACAGTACACTACAGTACTGTAGTGTACACCAGTTTGATCACAAGTTCTCGTGCTGTTTTCATGCTGCATAGGTAACTGTAGAAGATGCAAGAAGTTGATACTTGAAAGTAAAAACAAAGTGTCTTGGTAAGGCGCTGGGCCACCACGTGCCATTGATTCTACAAGTCTCTGAGCTCTACTGGAGGGATAAACACCATTCTTCCAAACATTATTCCCTCATTTGTTGTGTTCTGATGGTGGTGGTGGAGATGCTGTCTAACATGTCGCTCCAACCTCTCCCATAGATCTGGTGACTGCGAAGGCATAGCAAATGAATCGTATCATTTTCATACTCAACCATTCAGTGACCCCTTGTGCCCTGTTGATGGGGGCACTGAGACCCCTCAGTTATTCAAGTTTTTTTCTTTAAATCTCTCACCTGACTATCTTTTCTCACTGCAGAGACTGGGACGATCCTCGTCTCTTCACTTTAACTGCGCTTAGAAGAAGAGGTTTTCCACCTGAGGCAATTAACAACTTTTGTGGACGGGTATGAAAAGTGAATGAGAGGCTGAAAGAGCAGATGGTGCAACTAGTAAGTAAATGTAAGAGATTGTGACTAATACTGGTTACATTCTGTTGGCAGGTCGGAGTCACAGTGTCCCAGACGACAACGGAGCCCCACCTACTGGAGTCCTGTGTTAGAGATGTGCTTAATGACACTGCACCTCGAGCCATGGCTGTGCTGGAACCACTCAAAGTCACCATAACTAACCTTCCTGAAGACTCATGGGTTTGTACACAGAAATATAACATCAAACCGCTTCCTGAGGACTTGTTGATTTCTGTGTTTACTGTCTATGTGGTATTTTAACACCATGGGCGCTGAGTGCTGTCGTTGTCTTCTCACTCAGTCAGATGTAAGAGTACCAGACTTTCCTGCCGACGAGACCAAAGGCAGCCACACGGTTCCATTTACAAACATGATCTTCATTGAACAGAGTGACTTCAGAGAGGTTAGAGAGAAATAAACCCTCACAGTAGAAGTAACAGAGCTGCTTTGTGTAGTTTTTTTGGATTGCATACATGATGATGTACTCCTTTTTTTGTTTGCAGGTGATGGAGAAGGGCTACAAGCGTCTGACCCCAGAACAGCCTGTAGGCCTGAGGCATGCTGGGTGTGTCATCTCTCTCCAGAAGGTCATCAAGGTAAGATTCAAAGTGGTTCCACCTAGTAGCTCTTTAAACCATGGTGAAAATATGCATATACATTTTTCCAAGCTCTTATCCTGTGTCCTTGTGTTAATTGTTCAGCCCTCTCTTAGTGTAGGTCACATGTCAGTTTTGAGCATATTTATATGAAAATCTGTCTTCACCCTCTCCCAATAAAATATTACACTATTTTTAGAATGAAGTGTGTGTTTGGATTTAAAACAGAATTTAACAAAACAGATGAGGGATGTCTGGGTGAAGACCAACCTCTACAACTCTGATTTAGCTTTTTTCCTCTGAACTGCGCCCACATTTGAGCAGTTTAATCAGATCTGACGAATATGACTTACATGCTTCTCATAACTACAGTATACCCTACTTGCATGTTCCATTTTACTCAGAAATATGTCACATTATGGAAGACAAAGACATTCTAACTGCTGTTTGATATCACCCCTGTGACTTTAAGTTACATGTATAGGTTTTTCTGGATCTATGTTAAAATGTGTTATCTCAGTTTAGGCTACACTCATAGCAGTGTTTGCTTCCCCAATTTGTTTTGTCATGTGACACAAAACACATAATTTTGAATCACCTGGTGGATCTGTGATAATTAAAACCACACTGAAAATCAGCAAAGTTTGTCTTTAAGTCCAGTCTGTGAGATGAAAAGTCTGTGGAGATTCTCATTCATTCAGGTCATGGTACACCTGAAGTGCTACAGTTGGAAACTGGACCAGCTTGTTCAAGCAAGTCCAGCTGCCAACATTAGCACTTCAGATATGAGATAAAGTTATAAAATAAAAACTCAGAATTTTGGCCTATTAATAGTTTTTATCATTACTAACTTTTCTTATTTATTTTCTCTTGCTGGCTGGAACGGGCTTTCATACTTCCACGTGTCCTCCTAGTATGCTACTTTATGTACAGTTGTTCACACAAACATCCTGCTTTTCTTCCACTCTGTCTCTCAGGATGCTCAGGGTAAAGTGGTGGAATTAGAAGTGACCTGTTGCAGATCTGAGAAAGCAGAGAAACCAAAGGCCTTCATCCACTGGGTCAGCCAGCCGCTTGTGTGTGAAGTGCGCCTCTACGAGAGACTGTAAGTCACACACAACCACCGTCATTCACAACTAAATTTCCCCTTGTCGAGAACTCACTTGACTAAAACCTGTCACGGTAGATTTCTGCACAAGCATCCAGAGGATCCGTCTGAGGTGCCCAATGGTTTCCTGAGTGACATTAACCCTGTGAGTTCCTCTGCACTCATGAAGCAGAAAGCCTGTTTGGATTAACTGCACTGTGTGATTCTTTAATGCATTTCTTCTTTTTGTGATTTCAGAATTCCCTTCAGGTGATCAGCGGTGCCTTAGTGGATACCTCAGTCAGAGGAGCAAAGGTTTTTGACCGATTCCAGTTCGAGAGAGTTGGCTTCTTCTCCCTGGACCCTGACAGCACCACAGACAAGGTATAGTCAGATGAAACATCTTTGAAACAGTATAGTTTAATATTACAAATACTGATGAAAGCTTCTGTTTTAGTTCATTTGAGAAAGTATTTGTCACATTTTGGCACCTTCTTATTATGAGCATGAACTGGAACTAATCTTTCTGTCATGACAGCTCATCTTCAATAGAACAGTCACCCTCAAAGAAGACCCGGGGAAGATCTGATGGGCTGAGTTGAAGCCGCACTTCTGTTTCTCAAGAGCCCACAAATAAACGTCCACATTCTTTGTATCACTTAATGCTTATATCAGCAAAGGCACAGTGTGCTTAGGCTGAGACTGACTAAAATCAGATATTGTAACAATGTTCATATTTTTAAGCTTCTGTTAATCTGTCTCACTGCAACTGGACAATGTATTTCTTTTTCCTTGGCTGTCAGCTGTATACTTCATAAGAGAATTATGGACTACAAATTAACGTTTGTACCTCTTTTACCAATTTCAAGCTTGGCCAGCGTCAGAGTCCTGTAGGTTTTTTTTTTTTTTTCTGTATCTGCTATAACAATATTCGCATAGTGTTTTCTCTTTGTTGATTATATGCAACTTTGATTATTATTCAACAAGGACCTCACATAGTTAAATTTTATATTGTCTCTAAGCTGGTGTTACACAGAGAAGATGCTTTCAGATTCCATAAATGACTTTCATACAAAGATGGTGGGACAGTGCCAAACTGTGTTTTATTTAAGATGGGTGCGAACACGGGAATAAATAATACTATTAAAAACTTCAGTGCTTCTGTGTCGGTGAGGATACACTGGTATATTTTTAAGTCAATATCCACTATTCTCCTACAAATGATATTTTATAACCAGAATCAAATATTTAATACAGTATATGTATTATGATTAGTGGTGCTTTCACAAAATATTAAATTAGGGGTGGGTGACGTAGAAAGAAATTCTTGATAAAATGATATAGTGTTATGTTATGTATTTGCAAAACTGTTCAAATAATTGTTTAATCTGTTTGACCTTTGGAAAGACTTGACCTGTGCCCATGAAATGCTTTGTGCAGAGAGACTCAGAACAACAGGAAGTCGTGCAGATACATACTGAGATGACTAAACTGTCTGCACGAGAATAGTGTGTGGGTGTAAGGTCTGATTGTCTTGGCTTCAGATTATCAACATATGAAATTCTAGGATTGACATTATAATCTGCATTAGCAAATATATCTACATGTTTATTTTCGTATCATATGCATTATAATAGTATCAGATGCCTTATAATCTACTTTTGTTTTAACCAGTTCACTTGGCTTTAAGAATATAGGAGACATGTGTAAGGCTGTAAGAGTAGACAGGAAACCACATACAGGAAGTAGACCACGGTTGCATAGCAGCGCTGGCGCTCTTCCTAAATCTGCAGACAACAACTAACCGTTTATGTAGACATATGTAGGAGTGTAATGTCTAGGTCAAAAGGTCAGGATGTTGTACTT